TATATATATATATATATATATATACGTTTTTTTTCGTTCATCCTAAATATTAAGGTGCCAGATAATTTGAACGCTCTAAGCCAATTTTTTAATAATGTTCTATCAAGAATAACCTGCATCTAGGAATCAGATAGAAATAAATCGGTCAACTTATGACAAAAAAATCGTTGAATTGACAGTACAAATTTACATTGTTACATCTATACAGACCAATGAAAACACAACTTTGAAACTCCGCCTTCGGAGTCTTCAATTCGTCCCACACCTATAAAAGATCGCCTACGAGCATTGGTTTATTATCTGGGCGTGGTGCTCACTATTGAAATGCTCTCGCAAATGCACTGTTTGTATTCGCTGCTGATTTGTGGTATATTGTTTGCTGGTGATACGGTATTATTTGTTCAGTGTTCACTGATTTTCTGACAACTGTAAAAATCATCAAGACATTCGATTAGTTCCGATTTTTGATAAATTGGATTAAATCCTCTGTTGCATCAATTTTTGTGTGCAGAATTACCGAGTGAAATAATCACGCTAGGTTCAGTGGAAAAATACTTTCATTAAATTACCATTAGCAACATAGTGTACAGATTCAAATTGATGATTTAAAACATTAACTGAAACTTTTTCAGATTTTTGCGTTTTGAAATTTTCAAGAAAAACTGATTTTAATTTCTTGCAGAATGCGGACTTGAAGAATAATACAGGTCAGGGTCATTATTGGCCGCCAGGTTGGGGTGGATTTGGGGGTGCTCCAGGAGGTTTTCCAGGTGGCGCGTCTCCGCCACAGTTTCAGTCGGGTGTCTATCCACCACCAGGGCCACCCGTATATCCACCAGTACCGCCATTGTATCCTCCAGGACCCCCACCAATATACCCCCCTCCGATACCACCGCTACCTTTCTTCTTTGATCGTATGTTTGTTCCAAAGATTGCTCACTTTTCCCTTCCCATTCAGTAAATTAACTTAGCATAGTGATAACAACGCATCACCTGATCCTGCAAATGACGGACTCGAGATTGAAATTTTCAGAAATTGAATTAAATAACATCTATCGTTCATGATCCCACTGACAACTTGATTTCAGGTTACTATTGTTCCGTGCAGGCTTCATTCAGTTTGATTGATCATAGAGCCATTCCACCACCTCCACCTCGTACGTGTATTGTCTTATCGTACCCATTATAATTTTCATTTCATCCTCTCTAATACACTTTAACATCAGTGCTTCAACGAAAATATCGAGAACCTATAGTCATGTTCGTGTTCAGTTATAAGCACATTCTTTTCAGCACCAATAGGACAATCATTTGATGGACCTCCAGTAGGTTTTGGGCCACCACTACCCCCACCACCCCCATTTGGTGATTTGGATATTTCACGTCAGACGTGCAGATATACAGCTACTTACAGCCAAGCAACTTGCATATTATGCTGTAAGACGGCAGCACGTCATGTTGGTACATCCCAAGTAAGTTTTAGTTTGAGCATTCCCGTCGGTGATGATAATTAAAAATTGAGTCGTTCGTCCTGATTAGTTCGCTGTGGATATACTCTTTCGTTTCGAATTGGTCGAATCATCACAAACCGTCGAGGAATCAGCTTAAGAGACATTCAATCGAAATCGAACGATGAGTTTTTCGAACAGGTGATGGATGTATTTTGGTTGCATTTCAGGACGAAGTTACGGGAATACTTTTCGTGTTTGACCCGGTCAATCCACTAGTTGTTGCACCAGGTGAAGATGCCGGTAGCTCACTCCGTGACAAGAGAGTATGTGTCGTTTGTGATTCTTACCATATTATTTTGACATTGATTACTCAGTGTTCAGCCACTTACTAAAAACAAGATAATAATGTCGGCGTGAATATGCAATTGTACAAAACAGTGATTGAATCAGAAAGTGCTCTCACAGAGTTACGAGGAGATCTATGAACAAGCGAGTAATCAGTTCTCCAAACAAATAACTCAATTTTTTTCTGTTCTATCTATCAATTCGTTTCGTTCAGTCACCACAATTCGATTACCAAAGGAAGCTATCCGACTATTTTGCAACACCACCAACGGAGGAAGACAATGCTGATGGCAACAATGAAGAACCCATAGAGGTCGTGCCAATAAGTGATAATCGTATCGTTCAATGCGTTTGCTGTGCACCTCGAAAAAGATGGGGCCTATACTAGTACTCTTGTCAACCAGTTCTTCATTTTCTTCAGAATCATTACTTTCATTTCGGCAGAGAAACCTGTTATAGCAGCAAAAGGAATTCGCTATATATTTGTCTACTTTTCACTCATTTGTGCCATTCATTCATCACACCTTCTTCTGCATTATTCATTCGTTCGTTATCGTATGTCCTTTTCGTAGTACGATGGCTCAATAATATTTCGATCCTAATAAATTCTAATCAATTTGATCGGTACTTTAATCGGTGACATTGCATTTGCTGATCATGATGAGCATTATCTGCTCAATTCAGTATTTTCCCATGACTATTACAGCAATTATCAATCTTAACATATCACCTCAATAAGGCAATAACAAAGTTTTCAATTGCAACTAGACGTAAATGCATGAGAATTTTCTTAACAATCTCGCTGACCGCTTCAATTTCTCATACCCATACTACGCAAAATCAGCAAACGTAACTGACATAACGACATCTATGAAGGGCGCATTAAAAAAAACAAACGAACGATACGTTTATTGTGTAATATGATAAAAACGAAACACATCAACACGAAAACAAACAGTTATTGAGAACAACGATAAAAGAATAAAATAATCCAAGAATTCAAAAAACAATAAAAACATCTGAACACAACGGATGACACTGCTAGCTAAGCGTATGATTGAAGATTACGATGAATTCGAAATCATAAATAAACTGACTCATTCGTATTATGAGTTTTATTCTATTAAAAGTGAAAGGTAAAAAACAATGAATAATAACACTGAAGATCAAATCAACAACAACAATAACAAGCACAAACACCTACCATCTGCAAATAAGTTGCGCATGATATTTCTTTTGATATTTCTTTCATCCAATTCCGATCATTCTAAAGAGCTAAATAAATGATTCTACGAGCCCATAAAATCTGATGACGATAAAGACATCAACAATACCATACGAAATTTCGCAATAAAACAGAAAAAAGATTGATAAACCAATTTAACCGAAAAATTTACAAGCTTTCCTCCTCTCAACCATAAAACGAACGCAACGGAACTATTCAAAATATGCGCTGAGAAAATCATTTAATCACTATACAATGTGGTACACTCAACGAAAATTGATTAAGTTGTGATTATTCCGAAGAAAATTTGTTTGATATGATCACTGGAGCATAAAATGAAAATCTGATGTAAAGCAAGCAAATACTGTAGTTAAGAACTGAGCTGGGACAAAAGAGACTGAAAGAAAAAACAATTGAAATGATAAACTCAATTCGCAATAGGGATTTAGCCACACACTTGAGATGCGCTTCTTGAGAGTCACAGAGGGTTTTCATGATTATTATTCTGATGAACTAAAGAAGGATCAACTTGTGGTTGACAAAATACACATCAATAAGTTCGGTCCATTCACTAAACCTCGAATACCTTTCGTAACGTTAGTTGATCAAACATTTATCATGGATGGTTTCAAAGTGCAGTGAACGATCGCATGAAAACACGATTTTGTTGACAGGTGAGACATAGACGGCTGTACCAAACAAAACAACATAGGTTGGATAAAACGAGGGATTGATAAAGAGTAAAATATAAAATGAAGATAACAATAACAATTGAGTATTCACAGTTTGAACAGCGGCATAAAATAAACTCATTCCGAATAGTGGTTCTAATACAAGCTGACCAAACAAGCTCACGTATCCACCACACCCGCTGCTGTGCCCCCATGCGACCTCGATGACAGAATCGGCATCCGTGGTGCTACAGATTCCGGGAACAATTGAGCGTAACTTGCGAGTGGAATATAATTTGCCGTTATCACTTTACCTTAACAAATTAATTGATTGTTTGAAAGTAACATCTTTCCATAATAGTAATTACTGCAGAGAATCGTCTTACCAGAAAACCATCTTCCGTGGAGTGAATTAACAGATTTATACGCAGCTGCAACTGAAGGACACTTCACATAGACATTGCCACTCGGCGATGCGCGATCGACGAATATATGTACCACACCTAGAAAATTGACAGCAATCATTCAAATCATAGCATCAATCCACCTTTGCTTTACACGAGATACGATTGCAAACAGATAATATTTTTAAATAAAACACAGTCTGATGTCATTCGAGATATATACATGAACGTGTAGTACTGAACATTTGTTGCTCATAAGTGAAACCAAAAAAAACGAATATTCAAAGAAGGGAGGGAAACCCTCCCATACGATGTTCACTTACCGCCATTTTTGGCACATTCCTCGATGACATCATCCCGCACCTCATCTGCCCACGAATCACCACTTTCTCTGGAAAAGAAAACAAACTGAATGAAGAGATTCACTGCAGCAAACGCCATAATTGGCAGTCAATAACAACGACTCACTGCGTTGGATCGAACATATTCGAGAGGAGAAAGCATTGAGTAGCTATCGGTGGTATAGCGAGATTGTGCGCATCTGTTTGCTGCTGTGGCTGTTGCAAGTGAGCTTGCTGCTGTACGGCCAGAGGTGGTGCTGTTTGTTGTTGTGCTTGATTATTCTGGGCTAACATCTCCTTTGCACTCTTCGGTAATTCGAGACCACTGCCTGCAAACATCCACCATTGTTGTCGCGATTAAATATTGCCTCGAGTCTGTTTCTTTAAAATTCAAACAAAAGCTAGTATCCGCCTAACTGATCAACGGTTACCAAATAGTGCTGTTAAAAAAAAGCAATCAAAATCGCTGTCCTCGGAAAGATACTCGTTGGGTTAATGTTTGTTTCACAAATAACACCCCTCTCTCAACGGAGGAATGCAAATACGTAAACAATCAGTGCGAATGAATTATAACCAACCACTGAAACCACTCATATCAAGAAAAACAAACCTAAAGATGACCAACTCTCTCTGATTTTATCGACAATTTCACTTTTCAACGAGTTCAGTTATAGAGATTGTAATGCAGTTAATATGATACGATTCAAAGAATAACCTTCAGCAAGTTTCGCCATCAGATGAAGTCTTCCACTAGTACCCAAGTCGATTCCACGTCGATCTGCATCCTCAGTGTCTAATGTGCGTTGAGGCTGCTGTGGCGGTTCTTCATCATTATCAACAGTACCCACCTAAACAATCAATTCATCAAAAGCTCACAAACATCAAAGTCAATCTGACTTACTTTCATTGGGCGACCAGCTAATTCGAAACCATTCATCTGCTCCATAGCCCTTTTTGCGTCGTCCGCGTGACGGAACTAAAATTGTAAGAGAGTAATACGTTACCCCATACCTCAGCAGCGATAAAACATATTTCATTCGCGGCATCTTACAAACGAATGATGAATCCGACTTACCGTTACGTAAGCATACCCTTTCGAAACACCACTGAGATCAGTTGAAATTTCGAGGGAATCGATCTGAAACTTGTTGATTAAAAACATAATCCGACAACTCAATCTTAATCGCTTTGAATATATCAATAAACGAACTCACCTTGCCGAATGGCTCGAATATACGTCTAAGCATATCCTCTGTGATACTCGTATGCAACTGACCAACGTACAGTTTCAATGGACCAGTTGTATTTGTTGGACCGAAGCCAAGTGTTCCACCAACCGTATTATTCGCTGCTCTGTTTCTTTCAGCCAGTGTTGGTTGAATCACCAGTGGTGCACCCAACAACTTTTGTCCATTCAGAGCTAATGCCTTAAATCAGCATCATACTCCAGATCACTCTTCAAAAATCATTCAGTTCAGTGAACAACCACAAAAACGTAACGCTAACCAGGTTGACACTTTCGATCTCCCAGAATTCGACATAACAAATGCCTTTCGATCGACGAGTTTTTGAATCGGTGATTATACGAACATCCCGAACATGACCAACACTTGAAAAGAATTCTTCCAAATCACGCGGTCGCGTCTGTCTTGCTATCTGAAATAAATTCAACCATAAATATTCACTCCATTCTTTAACGGATCAATAAGAACGAATCATGACCACCTCCTACCTGCAAAATAAACACAGTCCTTTGATCACGTTCCTCGGATGTCATATCCAATTTGGCATTCGGTGGCGGTGATCGCCGAGCCGTGAACGGCATCCTTAACAGATGCAAAATCATTTATAACTCAAAAATACCCTATCAAAACGACTTTTGCAATCGTGTATAGCTGCGAAACTAAATTATTTCAACTTCACAGCTTAACAACAAATTCACAAATAATTGCCCGGTTATGCTGTTACACAATTGCTTGTCAATCGATGTGTGGTCTATACACACTTTTCTTGTCATCTGCACTGACAGTGAACTGCTTTTAACAGCAGAAATCAACACTTTCTTGCTGCTATAGAATGATTTAAAGCAGGGTTTCTCGACCTGGGGTCCATGGATCCACCGGGGGTCCGAGATGGCATGCCAGGGGGTCAAAGGGAGGGTAGACTGAGAACGGGTGCGAGAGTGGGTACGACGAGAAGTGGTCGTGAGGAGTGCGGGAGGGCGTGCAAGTACGAGGGCATCTCAAAATTTTCTAAGGAGTTCATGGAGCAAAAAAAAGTTGAGAAGCACTGCTTTAGAGCGTGTCGAATAACGTACACATCTCTTCGTTCTGGTCCTGGCAAGCGTGGTCCACGCGGCGGTGAACGTCTCCACGGAGGCGAAAATCCACGGCGATCACGATGGTCTAACACACGTGGACGTGACCTACAAATGAGAGGATGTTCAACAATTCTATAAATCAATTTGTTCGATGCCAAAGAATGCATACTGGAACGATTCTGGTATGAACAAGGTCAATAAAGCGAATCGAACGTCGAAGAGAATTTCATCTTAATTACAATGAAATGCTGATTAACAATAAACGACTATCACCCACCAAGAACGACTTCTTCTGCGACGATCACGTGATCGTGAGTGATGACGACGGTCACGGTCGCGTGATTTCGAACGGCGACGATCACGTGAACGTGAACGTGAACGACCAGAACGTGATCGATGACGCCGCGAACGTGAACTGAAATGTGAAATAAAAGTGGACTAAACATCAAATGTCAAGTGCAGTCAAAAAAATACAGAGATAGGAACGCAGTTGAAGAAAAAAACAAACAGACCTGGAGCGTCGTCGTGACGATCGACTGCTTTTACGAGAGCGCGAACGGCGACGACGTTCACGTGATTTTGATCGTGATCTAAATATTGCTGAGTGATTTAACTGTTTGACAGCACATGAGACGAACATGCATCAAATCAGCAGAATAAGATGAGAATAGAAGAATGAACCGTGATTTCTTCTTGCGATCACGACTTGAACTACTTCGTTTATGTTTCTTTTTGTCCTTCTCACGACTGCGTGAACGGCTTCGTGATGACTCTCTAAAATATGCAGAAACAAACTTTGAAAGTTCATGAAAATTGTAACACACACACGCAAAGATAAATGCCAGCGCAAAGGAATACAGCCGCGATATAGGGCACCTAAAACATCATTATATGGGTGGGTGGATATTGTTTCGTGCATAAATGCGTGCCGAAACGACGTTCGTCCAATCGTGCTCGTCAATCGTGTTATGCCTGGAACACACTGGAGCGCACCAGAAACTATCTCTTCTTTTCAAAATCCTAACTTTCAAACGATCCCGATAAGCATATCTACTTAAAGACGGCATTTTCAGCTTAGAGAAACATCTTCGATGAAAACGTTTTCCAGAACAATGATAATATTATAATCAAATCATATGTGAAAGTAAATCAGACGAAATGCACACTACGTCAGTCCAAAACGGAGATGCTCTCAAGTTCAGCAAAAAATTGTTCAAGTCAGTGGCGCGCCCCAAACGTATCGATAGGCATGAACACATATCAACAGTCTGCGTACCTCGTCCAAATTCAAATTTTCTTCAGCCATATTCAAATGTTCATTCCTCACTTCAAATAGCAGAGTAGCCATGTTCGGTCGAAGAGAATTGAAGAAGAAGAAGGCACAACACGCCATATTAATACGCAGAATGCAGAAAGGAGGGTGATAGTGACACAGTAGTTGTTTGTTTCAATCACTCAATCCAGCTTTATGTCTCTCTACAACGACGATTCCTCTTAGCATTCAGTTGCGTTTCTGTGCAATGCAGGTTAGCGTTAACAGCATTCTCCTTTCACATATACACATGCAGATGGGTATGTACTCATGTGTTGTTTGAGCAATATCATCTTTTTTTTTTAAATCATTCCGTTCTCATTCCAGGGGAAGAAGGAATTGAAATCGAGGAGGCATTTATCTCGGCTGGCTTAATCAATGAATCTTTTCAACTCTTCAACAATTTTCAATAACCTGTCCAACATACAAGAAAGTTAAAAATTTTCCAAAAATTTCAGGTTCAACTGAGGATTGTTGAATCAGTTCATCAGCCTTTCACTAAAAAGGTAGCTGTTGTTATCAACAAATATGTGAAATTTCACTACACTAGTTTAAATCCAAAAACAACAAACTGAAATCACTCAAGAACAAATCAAAATTACCATCAACCAAAAAATCATCTCAAAACAAAACTTGAATAAGACCTGAGTTCACACCCGACCTAAGCGATGCTACTACGATCAAAAAACGGTAATCGACGAAATCAAAGTTATCCGTCATATTCACGTGAACGTTCAAATTCTCATAAATGCGTAACGTGTCCGTTCGTATGTTATTTGGATCACATGGTATAACTGACCGTTATACACAAGTATATATGAACCGTACCATATTCTTTTTAACTGAATTGACCGACGATTTATAAATGTTTCTGAGAAGCTCCATATCACTGATGCGATAGGAGAAGACGATGATGCACACACGACGTACACTGCCTTAAATAAGCGCAAAGAAATCAAAATTTGAAAGTTCATCAGCACTCACCTCGATCTTGAACGGTGCTTCTTACGTTCTTTCTTCTTATCACTATCAGCAATTTTACCACTTTCATCCAGATCTTTTGCGGTATCACCATTTGTTGATGAATTCATCTCGACATCACCACCATTATCTTTCGGCGGATCACCACGAATTAATGCTGCCATCGGTTCGGGATGTCCATGGCCATTATTGCGATCAGACTGGAATAGTTGCTTGAACGCTTGTACAACCCATGCAGTGCTCATTAATTGAGAAACATTAATGTGTTTCGATTTAAAAGAAACTCCAGTTGCAAAATACTTTCCGTTTCAAATACGCTTTCTAAAGCAACAAATGGAAGAAAAGTCGGACTGAGAAAAGTAAAAATATCGACATTTACATCATCGATTTTGTCAAGTGCTTCCTCGAGCATCGCGTCGACGTCTTCAGGCTCACCCATTCGATTTGACGAGAAAGGTTTCCACTTATATCACAAGAATGTGAATACTGAAATATAACAACGGCTGTTTAATTTGATGTTACAGGCTGAAAATCACACGCTGACAACGCATTTCCGAATACACACATCAAGGATTTCTTGAAATCAGTACCAAAGCTCTCTAGAAAAATACTGCAGAATGACCTCACAGCTAGCACTAACAAATTCTCACAAAGAAGGCGAACATAAGCCATAAGCCTTTTGACTACAGCTCAAGTGTTTAATAAGCACTTGGGTTTGCTTCACATAAAATATAGACAAGTATGGACTTCATCGATAACATTGCAATGGAGTAATCGGACATTTCTAGTACCCAATAAGAATATTTTAAATACTTTAAAATTGGCACCCTAGTTCTGAAAACAATGCTACGATTATGATTAATAAGGTGTCTCGGATATTCAGCTCCCTACCCTTACAGCCTAGTACCCGGATATCCAGTCCCTCATAATTCGTTTTGATTCGATTTGAGCAAAGCGAACGCCATTTTGTGCGCGTATTACAACAAGTATACTGTGTGGTATACTACGATTTCTTGTTTGCAATAAGTAGTTTTCATTTGCTTCGATGCGGTCACGCAGAGCATCCAGGTAGCATAAGTAACCTTTGAACTTAATTAAGTATGTTTCTACTGACTGATGTTCTGAGAGGATGGAGATGGTGACTGATGTTCTGAGAGGATGGATTGACTGAGGTTTCAAAGGTCAAGTTGGAGTAGTTTGCCATCCTTGTTTTCATCCGTTCTTGTGCTGTTGTGTTTACAAACTCCTTAATCAAAACATTCACGGTTCACGGGAACTGCTTGAGGTAACAGTGTAGTTTTCAGCTGTTGTGATGCGGTCTCGCATTAAGGTAAAAAAGCAGCCATTGAAGCAGTGCTCATCATCTAAAATTGCAGCGGGATGGTTTTTCCACAATCTTTTCGATAATCTTGCGGTAAACATGTCAATGAAAGGGAGTGGTGCTGCGAGCAACCGCCTGAACTGTGAATGAGCCTCACTCTCACGGCTCCAACTCGTTGTGAGCTGAGGTGGATCTCGGGTAACCCTCAGCGTAAGATCCGTGGTGAACCTCAGCAGAATGCACGGGTAAGACTCTGCTTGAGGTTGGTAAATAAGCCAACTTCTCGTACTGAACACGTTAATTACAAGGCTGCCACCTTGCGATATCCCCAACCAGAAGAAAATGATTGCCTGACGTCGGGATGTATTATTTGTCATGATATTAAGTTGAGGATTCATTTAGAAGTGCCGTAATAACTGAGTGATTCGATAAAAAATGAAATATTTTAAGAATAACATCAAATAATAAACTAAACACAAGTACGCGCACAAAAGAGTTCGCATTGCGCCAGTAGAACTGAAACGAACTAAGGGAGACTAAATAACCGGGTTCTATGCTGTAAGGGGATTATTAGTTAGGGAACTAAATATCCGTCACCAGACCAGCAACGCGTTTCGTTTGCATCGCGCTCATCGACACGTCGCTTCATAACTAACAGCGACTGGCCCTTTTGCCACTCAGTCCTCTGCTTCAGCGACTGTTTCTGAGAGAGCATTTAACGGGTGGCCAACGAATGCATCCACGACATCCGATAAGGCACGCGCATGCTACTTAATGGTGAGGCATGCGCAAATTGTCGGAGTGGCACATTGTCGTAGACCCCTTTAACGATCGAGATGGAGGGATTAGTTCTTTAATGTTGGCCAACTTTATCAGATTTTCGGGCCGTGGGAAGCAAAACTAAATGAGGTAGATGTACCCGTTTTGCGGAAAGTTGAAATCTATATGGTGAAGGTGTGTGGGTTACGAGAAAGAAATCATTCTGCTGGGATAAGTAGAACAAAGCGAGTGTTGAAATTTGCGTCAACATTATGGTACAGTGCAACGAGTGCTCATGAGGACTTCATGTTGAAATCCTAGGTAGTACTTAGAATGTGTTTTCAATTATGCAAACTCCCCTTTCTTGATATCAACTAAAAACAGGGGCCACACTTTCAGAAAAACCGCAGGTAGCTATAGAACATCAAAATCTCAAACAGAAAACCAGAATCTATTAGAAAAACAGTGTCTTCAGTTTGCAAGGAAAAAGTCAACCATCGAAATAAGTAATCTCATGAGACAAAACGAGTAATGCGCGTGTCACGGCATATTACGATATAATGGAATGAAAACCAGAATGTAAGTTTTCTCTGCTTTCCAAAAGATATACATTGTCGAGCGATTATGCTAAGCTTCAAATAAATACCTAGGTGTCTGAAGTACCTTCATTACTGGACTGCTCATATGACACTTTCGTTACCTAGGCGCATGTTTCTATTGTTCGGGGATAAATAAATGATTGCAAGATTTGAGGTCGTGTTAAGCGCCGTGTTGATGAACAAATCAAAAAATGTTAGTTTTTATTGATACAGCACACGTTTCGGTTCGTTTAGCCATAAGTGTAGCAAAGAAAGTGAAAAAACAAAATATCAAGTAAACGTTGAGAAAGGTAATTTGCATTAAAATATGGAATATGATATTTTACAAAAGGAAATATGAAATGAAAAGTTAAAGAGGCATATCTTATAAACAATTAAAAACCTTCCACTTAGAGTTGCACCGAACTCTCCTTTATATCAAATGATTCCTCATTTCTTAAATCCAATTTCTTCCATCAGTTCATATTTCCTTTTGTGAAGCTCCATATTTCACATCTAAACACAAACTGCCTTTCTCGGTGTTTACTTCATTTTTGTTCTTTCACTGCTAAGATTATGGCTTAATGAATCGTAACGTCAGTTATATCAACAAATGTTACTATCACTTTGACTTCCTCTCCAAGCCTTCGTTTAATACGGTCTCAACCCCAACAATCATTTATGTTTAATCTTTATTGTTATGTTGCCTCATTCTGATAACTAATTCAGCATCTTATTCCGGTGTGAAGTGGAAAAAACTGATAACGATAGTTCCCGGGCATGTCTGCAATAAGTACAGATTCAGAAATGAGATAGCTAATCTACTACAATAAGTGAAGCGTAATTGTACAAGTGTGTTGCCCACGAAGTTTATAAAGAAGCTTGCAAACTTCCAATTTTGTTGACTGAAACTGGATTCTGGTCAAATTTTTGATTCTCGTCAAAGTTTGTATTCCCGACTGCATTGACACTCATTTCACTTCACGTAACCTGCTGTAGATTGCTTGGAAGATCTTGAACTGGATTCTGATAAAGTTTCATGTTCTCTTCAAAATGCATATTCTCGTTTTATTCAACACTCGCTCATTTATGCCCTACTTGTAATCCTACATCAACAACAAACCTCAGCCAACGTTTACTTATTTCAGAGCCCATGTTCTATACTACAAAGTGATTCTAGTGCAATTTCTCATGCTTTTACAAGTAAGCATATATTCGGGTTATTATTGATAAAATTTACTCTAAAATCCCAAAATACCACTGTTGACATTCGAAGATGGAATCACGACACCAATAGCGATCGTTCCTCGTTTTCATGGATGGGTTAGAGCACAGACAGACTAGCACATATAGTGGCGTAAAGCTGGCGTACCATAGGTGAGTTCAATTTCGTAGAGAATAGTTCGATCACGCAGGCAACAACTTACGAATCGGTATAAAATTTTGTAGTAACAGTATGACATGGGAAGTGATTTCTCGTATTATTCGGTTTATGCAAATACAATTACGTAGATTGATTTCAATGAAGGATTTCGAGATTACATTGTGCTTTTGGAATGCGTTTTCATACAATGCGGTTCGGAAGTTGTTTTCACCTAGCTGACGCCATGTTAAAACGCGAATCTTTTCGACAATTTGACAATTTCGATGAAATTATGCAATATCAGTGGAGTGACCTCATACCACGTTTCATATATCTATTTACGAACTTGTAGTAGGCAGAAGGCCAAACAAAATCACTTTTCTGATTGGTACTTTCAAGCGGCATTTACTCATTGGGGTACGGAAATGAACTGGTTTATTTGTATTGGTAATTCAATGAATCCTAAATGAAAGCTTATCGAAAAATGGAAGCGTTTAGTTAGGTGGAGACAATCCTTCGTGAACCTCTTTTAATACCGAAAATTGTGACACAAGAAAACTTCGCGTACAAAGTTTCTGTGAATGTTTTAGTCGATAGGTTTTTTGATAGCAGTGCTTGGATTAGTTTTATTACCTTCTTACTGTTTTAATTGAATGATTGGTCGATTGATTTGTTGGGTTTTTCATCTTAAAATGTGTCTTTTGAAATGTTTCGGCATGTTAACGTTCCTTAACTGAAATTTATTAGTGTAGAAAACGTTGGGTGATTAATTTGCGAAAAAGAACTGGAGAAGGTACGGCGGCAGAAAATTGGTGATGTATGAGGGCATGGGAATACGGGTAGATGACGAGTTGGAGGATCATTTATGGAATGATTTCGAGAGTTGTGCACAATCGGTAACCTTACTCTATCGAAACCCAACTTGGAAGACACTTCAAAAGGCAGCAGCTTCAACAACACAACTCTACAAAAGTGGTCTTGAACGGCAGAAAAAGGCTTTCGATAAAGGTGAATGTTGGAGATTAGATTGATGATATGATAGATTTTGTCAGATGTGATGTAATCGTTTTGATGGGTGTTAAGGATATATGGCTGGTAGACAGTCGATCGCGAAAGAAATGCTTGGCTTGCGGAAATATCGCGAATTACCTGTCGAAGAGATTTGGAAACTGCTATCGAAACCACTTTGTCCAATCGATCATAGTCGGTCCTCGCCAGATCCATCACCTGAACCTAGTGACAATCAAGCGGTTGATGTTTTTCAACAGGTTACTTGAAAGGCTCATTCCTGGGTGTTTTTTGTTTATTCGTCGATCGTCTAGTTGAAGTAAACAATTTGCGACATACAAAGTAAACACTGAATGTTACCGTCGTCATTTCAGGCTCTCTGTGTACCTTCAAATGGAGTAGTGCCACAGCAAAGTGTGAATGAATTGAATTCGTTTTTATGCGGTCAATTAAATCGACACCGTAAGCGTGTACATTCTTCACCTTCAAGTAGTTCGTTTAAAAAACTACGTCGTTCCTAACCGAGTGTTGCTTCTATGTAATATTCATGCATATTTTAATTTTCATTATTTCCCGTTTAAGTGAAGAATATTCCTCAAAATTTTTCATCCAGATCCTTTTTTCATCTGTCAACGTTCAGAAATGTTCGCGTTCTCAATGTATATAAATTAATATAAACTGTCTGTCTCCATGACAAATTTATTTGTATTCTTGGTCTTCTTCGTTTCAATTACTTCACCAAACACTTCAGAATATCTCCTTTCAGAAATTGCTGTTGAACAAACTTGAGAGTTAAATCAAATGTGAACTTCGAATCATTTGATGGATAAATATGAATTTCTATCTGTTCTGATGTCTATATCTATATATATTTGTGTGTATGATAAGAACATTCAACGAGTGTCTTTTTCAAAAGATCCAAATTCAAATATTTTTCGATCTTTTCACTTCGGAGTATTTTTTTTTCTGATTTTGCTATCTAGAATCATACTCATCATTCATTATTAATTCTCAGATTCATTCAAAATGTTCTTTAGCTTTAAAAAATTTTTGGCATAAATTTAGTATTATCTCGTTTAATGTTTTATTGCTAATCGTGCTTGCATTAAATTTTAGATATTATGATTAACAGTATTTGTTTTCTGATCGACATTCTTTTTTTCGTTCTTGTTTCGATTATTTAATTAGTCTTTTTCGTGGATTTGTTCCATTTTAGAAAGCGGTTTTTGGTAGGAGATAAATGTGACACTGCTTTATCACGTAATTTTGATTTTTTTTGAGGATGAAATTGCTATATATTGCTCATTAACTATTTTTTCTGTACATTTATTCTCAAGTATAAACTGCTTCGTAACACAAATGAATAAAGAAATGTAAAATTGTTTCGGTCCGTTTATAGTTCTCCATTTTTCAATTTCAATCGAACGGTTTACTTCACCGTCTTTGTATATTAAACATTCAGAAGTGTTATTAGGATTATTATCACATTTTAATTTAGTTATCATTATTACCACTTCTACTAGTGTTCTTCATTGCTATTACAGTTACTTCTCGGCGTTTGGCAACATCGTGGTTTTTCCTGTTATTAGCTAAGAGGTATAATCAGCAACTCACCCGTAATGGTAAGTACTTTCAATGTTTCAAGCAGTCAATAAAATGTAGGTATTTGGTTGACTGATCTGAGGAGGTTCGTTTATTTTATCAATAGTTGGAATGAAACGAACGAAGTGAAGTTCATCAATGTTGTATTCGTTTTAGTTCTTTCTCACTGCTGCAATCTTGATGCAGTTAACATTTCCCGATTATTCACTTTTGATGCATCATGTCAGCCTTTTGATTACAGCCACAGAACGAGCACATTGAAGTTCATCGAAAACGTTATGGAAGGCGATTGGATTATGAGGAACGATTGTAGGTTTTTGTTTGTGTTATGCTCTTTTTAGCTGCTTTATTTCATCGTCATTCAAGGCGTAAAAAGAATGCACGTGCTGGACATGAACGCTCTCAGATGGCCAAGAAGTTACGTGGACACAAGGCTAAACTCTACCATAAGAAGCGTTATTCTGAAAAAGTTGGTTACTTTCCGACTGTTATCGTCGTTTATGTAGATCAGTGTTTCTAAGAAGAGGAAAAATTTCCCTCTGAAAGGAATTTGGCAAATCAATTGTGATTGATTTTCGAAAATAATTACTTCTTGTGTGCTCGTTAATATTTCCAAAACGCTTATTCTATCGCAGGGAATTGATTCCTCTGATACAACCAACAATTTCTCAGCATCAGATTTCTTCATCAAAGGATCGATTCTCTATTTTCTATTGATCTATCGCCAAAAAAATAGTGGATTTTCAGAGCAAAGTGGGGAAGAATTGTGGTCACACCGATTATTGAAGAGCAAAGAGGGTGGGGGGTAATAACACTTTGTACTCTTCTTAGGCCATAGGATCACGTGAGGGGGGAGGGAGGGGTTCGGATCGTTGTTATAAATCGATCACACTTAGGCTTAGACCATGGTACTCATGCTACAAAAAAATCATGCTTGTCAGAAACGTAGCCTTTTGATTATTTCGAAGCATGAATTTAAATCGAATGACAGGTCGAAATGCGTAAATTGCTACGCCAACATGAAGAGAAGCAGCAGAGTACGTCGACAGAAAGGCCTGATGAAGGAGCGGTACCAACTTACCTACTCGATCGACACCAACAAGCGTCTGGTACGATTCTATCGAATATGATCAAAGAGAAACGGAAACAGAAAGCTGTAAGTAATTGAATGCGTTTTCCTTACTTGATTTATTGGTAAAATTCGTTCCAAGTTTAGTTCATTGATGTTCCTTTTTATTTACGAAATAAAATCCAAAACTAATAAGTAGTTGCCCAGTAAGTTGAAGTTAGAATATTGCAGGGCAAATATCAAGTACCGCTACCAGCAGTAAGGGCGGTTAGTGATGCCGAAGCGTTTAAAGTGGTGAAAACGGGGAAAACGCGACGAAAAGGTTGGAAGAGAATGGTCACTAAAGTGACATTTGTTGGTGAATCATTCACTCGTAAACCCGCCAAATTTGAGCGTTTCATTCGGCCGATGGGACTCCGTTTCAACAAAGTGGGTGCTAATTTACTTATTTTCATTATTGTGTTGCGAAAATGTTGCTCTTCAGTAGAGCAAGAGCATTTGTTAACGGTTTAACGAAAACATTTTATACTAACTATGTAATCTAAATAAGCATCATCCAGTCTTTATTTACTCGTATACTTTCTAAATAATTTAGGCTCATGTTACTCATCCTGAATTGCAAACAACATTCCAATTGCCAATTGTTGGTGTTAAAAAGAACCCTTCGTCACATATGTACACATCACTTGGTGTTATCACTAAAGGAACTATTATCGAAGTAAGCACGAGATTGATCGTTTCTTTGCTGCAACTTCTACTTCTATTTTTCACGTCTCGAATAATTGGTCGATTATTTAACAGTTTCGTGTATCGAATAATATCGGGGAAATTGAGTCATCAATGAAATTACAGGTGAACACTTCCGAATTGGGTATGGTGACACAAGGTGGTAAGGTGGTATGGGCTAAATATGCACAGGTGACGAATAATCCGGAGAATGATGGTTGCATTAACGCGGTGCTTTTGTTGTGATTGTTGTTGTTTTGTGTTATGATCAAATAAAAGATTGCTGATCTTTAATTGAACCATTCGAATTCTATGACTAACAATCAACAAATCGTTCGAATTGAATTAGCACTAACTTATAACATAATGATATGATATGAACAAACAAAATAGTTATTAATTCTATTCTAATTGAATTCAATGGACCTAACCTAATCAAAGTGCTCTAAATCATCAGCTAAAAGCATTAACAAACGGTCCAATATATGAATAATTCATACAACAGCAGGATAGTGCAAGTTATTGAGCAGTATGACCATTAAAAGTAAAAGGTAAAGTGTGCAAGTGGATGGTTAGTGTTCATAAACTTACAGTAAATCAGAGTGTGAATGATACGAAATGAGAATGTTTACGTTAGGGATTGAATAGCCTTAAGTTAACGTGCTTGATAATTGGAAGTGGAAGGCGTGAATGATGTGGCGAGAAGACTTCTGGCAGTGCTTTGAGTTCTGGGTGAAGATCCAGATTTTTGGGAGCGAGTGCTTACTGTGGACGTTGCCTTTGGTGGAACGGTGCTTGTGGATGGTAACTGGCTTCGTGTGCTGCTTGCTGGCAATTTGGATCGCTCTTCTTCAGTTTGCATCATTTCACGTTGCACAAGATTCTGTAAACATTTTTCTTGTTTTCGTGTCATTACAGTTGCCATAATAATAGTTTATAAACCATAATAATAATAGCATCGATATTACAGTGCGTTGTAATGTCTCATTGATTACTCTTACAGATCGACTTCATTTCGTAACCTAAATAATCTATGTCTCATATTTCTAAATTGCTCCAAATTCATTTGTTACCTTTCGATGGATTTTGATGAGAATGGCATAGCAGTGTTCAATAAAAGCTTTTGATCAGAAATGTTGACTGAAATCCTTGGCTGTTTCTGTACATATTCAGTGACTGTTTGCTTTGACCGACTTATCGGTTGATTATCAACATGTGTGCGCTCATTGGTCATAAAATTCGGAGAAACTATCATAGCAACGTGCAGCCCAATGCAATGCAACCGTGGTGCACTGTAATGTTGGGAACCGATAGATTTTTGTCGGTGGTCACCGATAGGCACATTTTGAGCATCGTTCCTTTGCCGATCGGCGGTTTGCCACCGCCACCGATCGAACAAGCCCTATTGGTCGCGGTCGTTGGCCATCGAAAAACCGTCGGTGGTTACCGACCGATTTTCGGTGGCCATCGACCCAACACTAGTGCATTATGGTAAATCGTTTCTTGCTGTTCGACTGCACTGAGTTGAGGATGTGAATTTAAAAAATGGGAAATTAGATCAATTCAAAAGAGAGGGACTAAGAGCGAAACAGTAGTGTATCTGTTTTCGCAGGCCAGTGATTTACTATTGGTTTTTCGATGAGCCGCACGTGCCTCATTTAAAGGTACGGAAGTTGGATTTTGTATGTCAGCCCACGTTTGTCTCAACCAAAAACACCGTGATCGACCGGCTCTGCCGCGTATCTTGGATTAAGTACGTATAGCCGCCTCATAGGAATCGATCACTTGCAGCATTCCTATTGAATAACATCATCCAATGAAGTAACAATGCTATACGACAATCACAGCAAGTCACTTTGTTGAACGCTATTCACAGATACCGTTCTCCCATGTTCATTTCTTATATTACCCAGCTGACTTTCACGTCTAATTCCCACACTTTTTTTTATTCCATTGGATTACTAATTGCATTGTTATCTCACTTCCTCCCATCTCAGTTTCATTTCACTGGACACATTTAATGCACGACCGTTCGGTATACTATGATGAAATTATTTCTAACCAAGAATTCTTCTAGCAAATACGAATTTTTCCGACAAATTTATGGTATTCATGTAGTATTCAGTAGCTTAAAGGAAGCTTTTAAAATTTATCAATTTCGGAATCCATCTCCATTGAAAGCATTAGGCAATATGGGAGAATAGCCCAAAATCTCTGTAGTCGCCAAATCAACATTCGAAGTTTTTGAAGACAGATGATTCCCAACGTCGATATCGTTTGCTGCGCAGAACGAAGGATGTTAAGGAACAAAAAATGTGATATTGGTGATAAGAAAGAGGCATAAACTCATAATGACTTGTAATTGCTGATTAAATAAACAATTTATGAATGAATAAATAAATCCGTTAGTTGTTTGAACTGAACCGGTTTTCATGACTGTCTGTTTCTTTACATTGAACAGATATCATTCAGTTTCCGTTAAATCCTCTGCAGCACTCGATCCATTGTTTATTCATACAAAAAGAAGAACGGCAAATGCGGTAACAGTAGCAGATTAAATCAAATGCAAATGAGTGTTTCATGTGGGAAAATATTTGTATATCGTTCAGACGATAATGTCATTTTGAAATGAAATGAAAAACGATGTGGCTGCTTGCAAACCGACGTATTTTATAACAACAAATACAAGCACATACCTTATAAAGTCCTTCCTGACTGAGCAATTCTTCATGAGTTCCCTGCTGTTCAACACGACCATTTTCAATGACAACAATTTTATCGGCCATTTCCACCGTGCTCAATCGATGTGCAATCAACAGAACGGATTTGCCTTTGAGATTCTTATAGATTGCTTCTTGAACTTGTGCTTCACTTTCTGTATCCAACGCTGATGTTGCTTCATCCAACAGCAATATAACTGGTCGTCTGACGAGCGCACGAGCAATCGCTATCCTCTGTTTTTGACCTCCTGAAATCATCATTTGCCATTCAATCAATACATTTAGTTGCCATATTCAACCACTTTCCATCTGAAGTGTTCGTTTTCATCTAATGATTAACTGGTAAGAAGCCCTTAGTGATGACTAATATTCGATAAGTACTCAAGTTATTTTCATAGATAAGCAAAGGTGTGTTTTTAATGGTGTCCTATCACTATGTGTTTTTTAAGAATTTAATTTGCGTTAATAATGCATATTTGTTTCATTTTACAATAGCAAATAAATATGCACACAGTAATGATATAAAATAAAATCTTACCCGACATTTGACTTCCTTGTTCACCGACGTTTGTATTGTACTTATCAGTGGTATGGATGATGAAGCCATGTGCGTTTGCCATTTGTGCCGCATTTATAATATCTTGATCAGACACTGAATCCAATCCATAAGCAATATTGTCTGTAACCGATCTCGCGAACAGTACCGGCTCTTGACCAACGAGTGCAATCTGCGATGAAAGAAGAAATTAAAACAAGCTAAAGAACACATGAAAGTGCGAATTGAACAGCTCGTTCGTTCTACCAAATAGGCACCAAAATAAGCTCAGCTCATAAATCTAATCGTCGATAATTTGCCTCCTCACTTTATTGTGGATCACATGATGATCGTAATCCTCGACTGGTATTCCATCAACAAGAACTTGTCCACTGTTCGGCACATAAAAATGCTCTAAAAGAGCTACACATGACGATTTCCCACTGCCTGATGGTCCAACTAATGCAACCGTTTGTCCTGGTTCAACCGTAAATGAAAGGTCTTTGAGAATTGGTAGATCTGGACGTGTTGGGTAATTGAAGTAAACATTGCGAAATTCGATACGTCCTTTCATTTGATCTGGCTTAAATTGGCCATCGTTGGTAATTCGTGGAGGTCGGTCGATGTAGTCGAACACTTTGCGAGATGCACCGACACTCTGCATTAGACCGGTCCATACTTCACCCATTTCCTATAATTAATGTTGTACGCTTTCTCGGCACTGTTAGGGAATTGATGTAAAAAATTTTTTGTTCTCTTGCAACATTTTATGAGACAGACAGAAAGATGAAGAAAATCAAGTTTAGAAATTAAGACATAAGTAGAACGCCCACTCGTAAATTTTCTCCAAGTTGCATTTGGTAGAGAAGGAAAGAGATGAGTAAATCTGCTTTGAGTTTATTCGATAAAACCAAATGACCGCCATACCAAAGGACAACAACGAGAATAAAGGTTTGAAAAAGCTGAAAAACATTTGATTGATGAAAAGTGATGAATTTTTGAATAATCCTTATCGTTGGACGTATGCATTTAGCCACTTTAGTACATCACCGAACTGCCATTTAATGTTTACACGTAACTTTGGTCTTTTCAAATGTCAGTTAGAAAAAGAAGTGGTTGTGAAATAGTATTTTGACTTAAAGCATACTTGAAGTTGGCCATATAATTCGACTGAATTTATAGCAGCTGAAATGTGTAAATTTTGATTTGAATGCATTCACAGCAATTTGCAATTATTAGATATCACTGCATATTATCAAACACACACAATGCAAAGGCAAGTGTGGTTTGTTCTGTCAGCATTACCAAATAATTCGAAATGCTTACCTCGCTGACCCAAAGAAAACCGACATAAGCGCCTGCTTTCTTTTTTGTCACATTCAAAGTATCCGTTAATTTCACATAATATCTGAAAAATACTTTCGAGACTAGCTTTACGAAGTGAAGAATTTATTGGGAAAAAAGATAGAGTTGAAAAGCATCACGCTAACCTGTCAGCTTCGAAGTTTTCGCAAGCAAACGAGCGCACGGTTCGCATGGTGCTCAATACCTCTTCGGCAACATCATTACTACGAGCCACGGCCTCTTGTGTAAGCTCCGTTAACTTCTTAAAAAAAAACGCATGTGGCTGGCACTCAATTTACATAGAACACAAATGCTTGTCCAGTGAACTTACATCATAATAGGTGCCGAAGAATTCGGAAGCGACAAAGATGATTGGAACGACAATGAACGTGACTAGTGATAATCGCCATGAAAGGCTCATCATGAATAGCATTGAACCACCTAACATAACGATATTTCTGAAAGTTGCATTATTCATACTACCAATAGAAATGAATCAGATATTGTTCATCATGCTAACTTATTAGAATAACGCCGAAAAGCCTAGAAATAAAAATTGTTTACTGTGATATTCATCTCATTTATTTACAGTATAGCGCAAAAAGACTGTGCACCTAAGGAATACGTTGACGTTAAGTGCGACCGTATCTGACATTGTCTGACAATCGGCTGTCAATCTGGATGTTACTTCACCTGAAAGTACTCTGGTCAGCGCACTGAACTGATCAAACTTTATGATTTGCCATTACGTGAAATGAAATGTGGCATATTTTAATGGTTCGATGAAACTTATTGAATAAGCTTAATAAAGAACGATTTCAAAGTGCTGCCTGCATCAACACTGTTCGTGTTTCTATTCAGTCAAACTGATCTATCCCAAAGAACACAGATAAACAATTCCAGTAGAATGAACAGAACAAGTGAATAGAAGAGTTTGTCGAAAGTGAGCAATAGAAACATGACGAACCAGTTTTATGGTCATCATAGAATGCAACTTCTTGCTTCACCAAACGATCGAATAAGCTGAAACGTATCGCTCGATTGATACGAGCGTACGCATATTCGAACGACCCACCGCGGAACCCACCAGAAATCGCACTTCAATTTAGTCAGTGTTATAATTGTTAGCGTAACCGTTAAATATTTTTATCAACACCATTATAAATATCATTACCATTATTGTTATTATTATTATTGCTATTGTTGTTATTATTGTTATTATTATTGTCATTATTATTAGTATTATTTTATAATTATTGTAGTCATTATCGTATGATAAATTGTTATTACTATTGTTACCTTACTTTTATCATTATTTTGATCATTATCGTATAATGATAATATATTATTGTTATTATTATCATCATTATTATTACTGTTATGGTCATTATTATTAAAATCAACATTATTCCACACGAGAAAGGAATGATAGTGAATGAAATAAGGGTTGTTGATGGCGCTTACGAGGCGAAGGAAATAATAGTCATAAGTTTAACGCTATCCATGAGAAGTTGATAACCAATATCGGGATCATCAGGATGATCGCGCTTAGCTTGTACAACGGTTGCAACAACTTGACCGGTATAGTATGGTACGAAAATTCGAGCTGGAAATATGTTCTTTTTGTTGATTTAGTTGTGGCTATAATCATATCCCATCGCCAATTACATGTTTATTTTTCGGTTCCGTTCTAAAACTTCTTGTGATTCGATGCCTTTTTATGTGATCACAGTGCATCAGTTTTGTTGCGTTCTATTCTAGCGCTAATGAATTGATTCGTAACGTTTGCAGCATCATTAGTACACTTTGCTTCAATAATTATTATTTACTGTTTGCATATACTGGTGAAGAATTTAACAACTGCTGGAGAAATAGTTGGCTTGTTTAAATGTTTCACAGAGGGTTTCCAGCGAGCTATTTCAAACGGCCACTGATAACGATCTGTAGATAATAAAAAAACCCACTTTTTATCTGCTTAAACATACCTATTCTCTTTCATAAAATGTTGAACTTTTAATTACAT